CTAAAATGAATCAATAAAACAGTAACCATTTAACAGCCATCCTTACAGGTCAGAAGTGAGACCGGAGCCGCGTAATAATAAAATTCAAGAGAATTTCACAACTTGAATTTGTGAACGAATGCGAATAGTAGAGCACCGTGGGTTATTTAAAAGCGGAAAAAACACGTAAAAGAATAGACAGAAAGCGCCGTGAAATGTAAATTGACGAAATAGAAAAACAAGCAAGTGATTTGTAAAACGCACAGCGTATGTATGTAGCGAGTGTCGGTAAAAAGCATAGTGCATGAAAATACGTGTACGAATGGACAAGTATTTGACAGAGCATTTTGCATACCGGGGAAAAAAACTGTGTTGCGCATGTGCCTAGCGATTTTCAAGAGTCTAGCAAGCGAAAAAAAAAAAATAATTGCGTCGCTGTAGTGTGTTGTGAAATTTCTGTTGCGTTCAAAAAAACGAAAAACAAATACAGTATACCTACTAGAGAGTCAAGAAAACACAAAGAACAAATTGTGTTGTTGTAGTGTCGTTGAATGCGCGTACGAATGTACGAGTGTTTACATATGCATACAGATATACGAACGTGATGCGAGCTTGTGTGTAGAAGTTTGCGAAGTTCGGAAGAGAGAGACACAGTGACGGTTTGTAGCAAAGACAGTGTATTTGATTCCAATAAGACTTCGGAATGGAAAATAAAGTGAAGATAGCGTCGTTGAAAGTAGATGAGCTAAAAGAGCAACTGCGTGCTCATGAGAGCCCAACAACAGGCACGAAGGCCGAGTTGGTTTTGCGTTTGTCGCAATGTGTGAATAGCGATGAGATTGAAATTGAAAATAACGATTCTGTGTTGCAAGCGCAAGTGAATGATTTGCGTAGCATGATGGAGAGCATGATGACGGCTATGCAGAATCTAACTAGCCGAATGCAAACGAATACTGATACTGAGCGAGTGCGCGATAACGGTGAACAACAAGTTGTTAATTCACCACAACGCTCAAGTGTGACAGTGGGACGAAGTGCTAGTGTTAAGGAAATTGCGGAAACAATTCCTGAATATGACCCCACTAGTGAAAACTCTTTGACAGTGGATCAGTTTGTTGATCGAGTGAACAGTGCCATAAATGCGTATAAGTGGTACGATAAATGCTTGCTTTTGGCATTTTATAGTAAATTGAAAGGTGCAGCAAGAATGTGGCTAGATGCGTCGCCGACATTTCATTCCAGTTGGATTGAATTGGCGAATAATCTGAAAAAAGAATTCGGGTATGAATTAAATGAGGCAGAGGTGCATTTTAAAATGGCAAATGCGACACGTAGACAAAATGGAAAGATTTTGGACTATTGTTTTCGAATGAGTGGACTTGGTCGACGTTACGGTTTAAGTGAAAAGGCAATTGTTAAATATACTCGTGATGGTTTAAAGCACTGTGAGCTACAGTTGGCAGTGTCTGCGATTCGGTCTAATTCTTTAAAGGAAATGCGTGAAACAATCGATAACTATTTGCAAAATTCGGCGTTAACGAAAAAACTTTAGAAGTGAAACGACTGACAAGCCTAATTTAAATCACGGTAAAGACAATATCCAGAAAAGTGACGTTGATAAGAAAAATATTAGGTGTTATAATTGTCAAGAATTGGGACATTTCGCGCGAAATTGTGCGAAACCGAAACAACAGCGTTGTAAAGACTGCGGTAAATTTCACAGAGGTGGCGAGTCGGAGAACTGTGGTAAAAAGACCACGATAAAGCGTGCACAAGTCGAACAACAACCAACATTTTGCGAAAAGTATATTACAATAAATGGTAAGTCATTTTTGGCATTCATAAACACTGGGAGCGAATGCAGCATGGTTATGCGTTCAGTAGCAGATGATTAACCGATAACCCGTCACAAGTGTTCGATGGTTATTTTTGGTATATGCGGTGGAAGACGTTGTTTGACTGAAAAGTTAAGCACAACTATTGGGTTAAACGATGAGGTAGTCAACATAGATTTGTTTGTTGTTGACGACGAAGTTATATCGACGGACATTCTCTTGGGGTTAGATGTATTTCAAGAGGAGAATATAGTAGCAGAAATTAAGAACGACAGCGTGCAGTTTGCGTCGCACGTAGCAAAAGCCGAGGTTAGGGCAAAGACAATTAAATCTAACGACATAATTTGCAGTATTGATGACGAGAAAATTAAAGAAGGTCTTTAGACATTTTTGAAGGAGAACAACGATATTTTTGCAGAAAGCTTGCAAGATATTGGTTTAACTGATGCAATGCAAATGAAGATTGAGTTAACAACGAACGTGCCTGTAGCACAAAAGCCATACAGGGTGCCCGAACCGAAGAAATGCGTCATAGCAAAAATGATTCACGAACTTTTAGAATGCGACATAATTTCGAAATCTCAATCGGAGTATGCAAGTCCAGTAGTCTTGGTAGAAAGAATGGGGGTGAGCGACTTTGCGTCGATTACAGACGTTGAAATAAATTCACAGCGAAGGAGATGTATCCAACACCGAATATAGAGGAACGGTTGGGTGAAGCGACGAAGTTTAAGTATTTCTCAATACTTGACTAGAACAGCGGATATTATCAGGCGCCGATTGAAGAGGGGTGTAGAAAGTATACTGCGTTTATTACCACAGAGGGGTTGTACGAGTTTAAGAGGATGCCGTTTGGGCTCAAAAACGCGCCGGTAGTATTTCAGCGGCTAATGCAGAATATCGCTGATAAAACAAAACCAGGCGATATGATCCATTATATGGACGACATTCTAGTAAGCAGCAATAATATAAGCGAAATGTACGAGAAATTAGGCCGAGTTTTCATAGCAATGAGACAACTAAAGCTTACATTAAACATCAACTAATGCGAATTTCTGAAGCAAACCATTGGGTTTCTGGGGCATCAACTTCATCCCGATGGTGTGAGTCCTGGAAGTGTGAAGACAGCAGCCGTTAGTAGCTTTCCTACTCCAAAGTCAGCGACCGATGTGAGGAGGTTCCTTGGGCTTAGCGGGTACTTCCGCCGATTTGTTCCGGGATATTCAATCAAGAGCGAACCGTTGAGAAAATTACTACGGAAAGAGCAGTCATTCGAGTGGGCTGAGCAGCACGAGAAAGCTTTTTGTGATTTAAAGAAAGCTTTGACTTCAAAACCAGTAATGACAGCGTATAGGGTAGAAGCGGAGCATCAGGTCCATACGGATGCAATTTCCATTGGAATTCCGGGTGTACTACTTCAAAACGATAATGGTAATTGGAAGCCGATTGCTTATTATAGCAGATCTACACCAGATTGCGAACGAAAATTTCATAGTTATGAGCTTGAGGTATTGGCAGTAGTCAGCAGTTTAGAGCGTTTCCGATACTATGTACAAGGAAAGCATGTCGTAGTTGTAACTGACTGCAGCGCGGTAACGACAGCCATGAGTAAAAGAGAGCTTATACCGAAAATAGCGCGCTGGTGGTTACGCATTCAAGATTATGACGTATCATAAGAACATCGTCCAGGGCGGCGAATGGAGCACGTTGATTTCCTGGGTAGAATGCCTAATGAGGACAGCGAAGAACTTTACACAGCATCATTGAAGATAGCGAAGATAACTTTAGAGGCAAACGATTGGGTTTACAGCATGCAGAAACAAGACGACAGAGTACGCGAGATAATTAGCAAAGTTACGAGCGCAGGTAAAGGTGAAAGTGACGAATATACAGTACAAAATGGACGACTTTACCGTAAAGAAAAGAACAAAAAGTTATGGGTTGTACCTAATGCGATGCGGTACAAGATAATACAAAACGTACATGAGAAGGTGAAACATCTAGGTGTCGAAAAGACCATAGAAGAAACACAAAAATACTTTTGGTTCCCGAGGATGCGTAATTTCGTAAAATCATTCATAAAGACGTGCATCGAATGTGCGTACAACAAGCAGCTAAGTGGTCGAAAAGAGGGTGAATACCACCACTACGAGATGGAACCAGTTCCTTTCAAGACCGTACACTTGGATCATCTAGGCCCATTCCCGAAGAGCAAGAAGCGAAACGAACATGTCCTAGTGTTCGTGGATGCTTTTACAAAATTTACAATTGTAAAAGGAGTTCGAAGTACAGCAACACGTTATGTCATCGAGTTACTCAATGAGGTTAGCAGTCACTTTGGTGTAACAGCAAGAATAGTGACTGACCGCGGGACAGCGTTCACGTCCCACGACTTCAAGAAGTATTGCAGTGACAACGGTATAAAACATGTACTTAACGTGGTAAGAATACCGCGTGCAAATGGACATGCTGAACGAGCAAACAGAACGATTCTAAGCATGTTACTTCCTTCGACGAGCGAGAACAAGAGTTGGGACGAACAGATACGAGCTATACAGTGGACATTAAATTCTACGAAAAACAAAACAACAAGCCGAACACCACAAGAATTGTTGTTTAATTACAGGCCGAGAGATATTCTATAGAACAAGCTCATATTAGCATTACATCACGATGAAGTCATGAGCAACGAACAACTCAGTGAGGTACAAACAGAAGCAGCAGAACGAGTCAACAGTCAGCGAATAAAAGCCAAGAAGATGTTCGACGAAAAGCACAGTAGTCCAACACAGTACACTGTTGGTAATTTAGTCCTAGCTGAAAACGAGCCTGCCTGTACTAGGAGTTCACGTAAACTAGAACCACCATACAAGGGGCCATTCATCATAACAAAAGTAATAGGTAATGATCGTTATTTGATCGAGGATGTGCCAGCGTCCAGTCGAAAACAACGGCACTACTCGTCGATACACACATCCGACAAGTTAAAACCATGGTGCAATTTACCAAATTTTGACGGTTTCGACGACAACGATGATGGAGACGA